ATTTCCTATTATCAGCATTTTATAAAAAATCTATAATTTTATTTACTATACTTATAATACTTACTATAATACTTATAATACTTACTATAATTTGTACCTTTATTTACCAAATATATATTATTAATTAAAACAACACATATTGGGAGATTGCAGGGAGATTGCAAAAGACCAGCTACTGCTTTGAACTGGACCGACTGAATCTACTATTAAATATCTACTATTTAAAAATATACAGACAAATGTTAAACACCCTAAATCTGTTGAAACACGTCAATCTGATGGTAGTTAAGTTTGCAGCTGGATAATATTGGGAGATCACTGACAGGAACAGAGAACAGCTCCTCCAGAGCGGGTCTGAAGCTCATATGCAAGTTTATTTTATAGTCTATGGCAGAAACAACATTGAGCCTCGCTAGATCCTCCTGTATGGGCGCGTGTCCGTTATAAAAAACTCACAGGGCAACTTAAATAGCTCACACAAAAATACACAAAGAGAGACTTTCACTTCACGGATATTTTGTGAATGAACAGACTTACGTATACTAGTTGCAGATTCAATCATGAGGCTATTTTTGCGCTGAGTTTAAAGTAATCAAGGAGAGAACAGGAGAAAGTGCATTATTTAATCATTTTAATATAGCATGTTATTAATGAAGCCCCAAAATTATAGTATAATATTGATATCTGCTGGATCACTAAGGCCCACTATTGGGCCGCGGACCACTGGTTGAGAATCCCTGCGCTGGATCATGTCATTCGCCAGTTAGAAACCTTTACAGTACTTTATAATACCACAATTCCAAATGAAAAACTGTATTATATCTAACACGTGTTCAGTTATGTAGCAAGCAGAACTTGTCATAATGTGGAATATTTCATGCATGCAAGCATCGCTGGTCTAACTTTCTCACACTCTTTGTTTTAAAGCGACTACTCTATGCTTAGTGGTTGGCCGACAGCATGCAGGAATTACTCGTATTACTAAGCCACACTTCCATGCTATTTCAGACCGAATATTCAGAGTAGTCTGCCTTCTTAAAAAGTACTGCAGTAGTGACAGCTTTTGTACCTTTATTTCTAAGAGTGCATCCATGTGGAAAAAAGTGATTACCCCATAGAGCCAGTTGAGTCTGAAAGCGCACACTCGTTTACTCATCCACCAATCTCCAAAAGCTGCATGCACCAGAAAGCACTGTCGCAAGTGAGCATTATGCCTACCCATCTGTAATATGTCCTATTTGCCTCTATGAATTATATGTCACTGTTCATTTGTCACATTTATGGTGTTATTTGGTTAGAGAGAGAGAACAAAAACACCTGCCTGTGGGTACAAAGTAATGAGCAAATGTAGGAAATGAAATCGATCCCTCAGAAACTACCTTAGAATAGCAGACACTCCACATAAATTGTACTACTTTTCTATTCTGATATCATTAGTTTCAGTTTGTTAATAAATGTGACCCTGGACCACTAAAACTCTTATGTCTTGCACAGGTCGATTTGTGGGAAAATAAACATTGTCTGACTCAAAGTGATAAAGATTTTTTCTTGTTGTTGAAAAGTCATTAAGGGTGGCATGGTGGCTCAGTGGTTAGCAATGCCACTTAACAGCAAGAAGCTGGTCCAAGTCCCGGTTGGGTCAGTTGCAGTTTGCAATTTCTCCTGTGTTCATGTGAGTTTCTTCTGGGTGCTCCGGTTTCCCCCTCAGTCTAAAGATATGTGTTCTAGGTGAATTGAATAAACTAAATTATCCATAGTGTATGTGTGTGAATGTGAGTGTGTATGGGTGTTTCTCAGTAATGGGTTTCGGCTGGAAGGGCATTCACTTTGTAAAACATATGCTGGATAAGTTGGTGGTTTATTTCACTGTGGCGATGACTTAACCTAAATATGTACCAAACTGTGAATTTTGTGTGCAGTTACACAAATGTTGGATAAAAATGTGAAGTAAGTTGTTTTTATAATATCTGTTTAAATTTCATTGAAAATAATTTCAAATATTATATTAGGGCAAAATATCTCAGCCAATATTTATTTGTGATTAAAGAAGATTAATAAGATCAAATAATCTTGTAATTGAATTAGATTTTTTTTAAAAAGTTTCAAATGATTATATGTTTTTTAAAAATGTAATCGTTTCACAGCCCTAATGTAGACACATTAAGAAGAAGTGGGATGATATTCAGTTCTGATGTGACCCAAAGATCCTGCTCGCCTTGCGTAAGAAAGTTCGAAATACTTTAAGTTAAAGGTTTTCTATACACACAGGTACATTTAATAGAAAAAGCTGTCTAGACGGTTCATTTGAGTGTAAAGGATGAGAGAAGGCCACGTCAGATTGTTCACAGCAGGTTCTTTGCATTAAACGACTACAATGAGAACATATCATCTCCAACTCAATTCTGGGGCTTTTCTGAAGCAGCTAAATGATATGAGCTCTTTCACATGTTAGCCTTATAGGGATTTCTTTACATGACCTTACTGTAAGTATTGCACTGAACACTTATGTTTGCCCAAGTCTGCAGATTCAATTTATGGTCTTGAAAATTACAATAAAATCTTTGGCTGAATAGCTTTGAATAGCTTTAGGAGCCAAATAACCTTTTTGTTTGCAGTGTTAATTCATAAACAGCATAATTTTTTGATAAAGCTGGGTTTTCAGAAGCGCTTCTGTACATTGAATTATAGCTTATTTCTAGATTTAAGTTCTGTAAGTGGTTTATTTATAAACTAATTTTGAGAGGATTGTGTGCTTATGATTGACCACTGATGCCACATTAGCTATCATATGATTGACTAATCAGATGAATCCAAATGCATATAAAAATCCAGATTTCCTTACCTTAGTCATCTTCGCCGTGAAGAATTCTCCATCCATCCCTACTCCTCCCTGTCTTTCTTAGAATAATCCAGGACAGGGTGGCATGGTGGCTCAGTTGCTAGCACTGTTGCCTCACAGCAAGAACGTCGCTGGTTTGAGTCCTGGCTGGGCCAGTTGGCGTTTCTGTGTGGAGTTTGCATGTTCTCCCGATGCTCACGTGGGCTTTACTCCGGGTACTCCGGTTTCCTTCCACAGCCCAAAGACATGCGCTATAGGTGAATTGGGTAAACCAAATTATCACAGTATATGAGTGTTTTAGTACTGGGCATTCACCGCGTAACCATATGCTGGTATGGTTGGTGGTTCATTTATCTTCTGAGTATCTTCTGAGCTCAGGGCTCTCTCCTGGGACAGCATACCAAACATGCTTTATAATCAATCATCAGCTAAGTGTGAACTCTTTAAGTTTTAGTTAAATACATTTTGTTACTTTTTTATTCACTCTAGTGATAGTGACTTTATTTGAACCTTATGAATATTTATCTGAACTGTAAGAATACTTATTCCTGTTTGCAGAAAAATGGTTTCTAACATATTTTTTTACAGACGGTTTAATCATACAATTGGACATCATGTTAACCAATAATATTTGTGGGGACAATGCATTAAAAACAATTTATAACACAAATTTATTATATAGTTTATTTTTATTACATAAAACTTTAAAAAAATAAAGGTAACTTTTTTTTCATCTTTTGTGGTAAATTTTGCATTCTATTTGTTAATTTATGTGTTTATGATGCTTTTCAATGATACATTTTAAATAGTGGCAATTTTCCCTTTAATTGTGTATATACAGTTGAAGTCAGAATTATTAGCCCCTCTTAAATCTTTTTTTATTTTTTAAATATTTCCCAAATTATGCTTAACAAAGCAAGGACATTTTCACAGCATGTCTGATAATATTTGTTCTTCTGGAGAAAGTCTTGTTTTATTTTGGCCAGAATAAAAGCAGTTAGGAATTTTAAAAAAACAATTTTAAGGTAAAAATTATTAGCTCCTTTAATCTATTTTTTTTTTCAACTGTCTACAGAACAAACCATCATTATGCAATAACTTGCCTAATTACCCTAACCTGCTTTGTTAACCTAATTAACCTAGTTAAGCCTTTAAATGCCACTTTAAGCTGTATAAAAGTGTCTTGAAGAATATCTAGTAAAATATTATTTACTGTCATCATGGCAAAGAGAAAATAAATAAGTTATTAGAAATGAGGTATTAAAACTATTATGTTTAGAAATGTGTTAAAAAAATCTCTACGTTAAACAGAAATTGGTGAAAAAATAAACAGGGGGGGGGGGGGGGGGGCTAATAATTCAGGGGGGCTTATAATTCTGACTTCAACTGTATATTGAAAAATTTTATATTGAACTTGATTTGGCATCATGTGCAGGACCTTTTTAACTCTGACACAAATGCTCATCCAAATAAATTTCCTGACTGTCATCAATGTTGAATACATTTTTAATATTCAGTAACAATAGAAATATATTGCAGAAGATCCCCTAATTTACAGCAGCCCTTTCTTTTACTGCGTGTATAGGAGAGACTGAGAATGCAGACAGAAAATTAGAGATGTGTTTATCACAATTATACAGCTTTAAAAAAAGATCTATTTTTCTAGTTTAATTAGGTATGGGATTGAAATTATTGATTGAAAATTCAGTTACTAAACATTACAATAAGACTACAAATGTTAACGTTAGAATATTTCATTAGACTTAAAAAGCTTTTATTAATCTTTGGTGATGTTGATTTTTTTGGGTTATTGTCTGATAATGTGTTATAAAGTAATCATAATCCTATTACAAGTGAAACTCTTTTATTCATTAGTTAAATAATACATTTCAGTTGTAATAAACCTTATTTTCACCGCTGATTTTAATGCATTAACTAACATTTACTAATTAGACTTCATTATTATACTTCATTATCTTTCTACAGTTTAATTTGGTTGAAACATTACTCTGAGCATGTATATACAGTAAAATCAATATTAAATTAACCATAAGTCATAAGAGTACTCAAACAAAATGTGAATCCAAAAAACAGAGAATTGTCAAGTAGTCTCGTAGTGTTTTCCATAGCTGAAGGTTTTGATGTTCTTATCTGTCCACAGGCTTTGCGTGTGATGGCCAAGATCATGAGAGAATGCTGGTACGCCAATGGAGGCGCTCGTCTCACCGCGCTGAGAGTCAAGAAGTCACTGTCCCAGCTCAGTCAACAAGAGGGCATCAAGATATAAAGGCAAACTCATCATCTTTCCACTGCCTGTCCGCTCGCTCCACACATCCAGAGAGCTCAGCGATAGAGCTTCATCCTCTGAGGAGCTTTACCTCAATCAGGGATTCCGAAGGACCAGATTTAATTGGTGCTCTTCCCTGTTAAGGTTAGGATTAGGATTAGTCTATGAAAAAAATACATGCAAAATCACCTCAGACAACCTTTACTAGGAATCAGTCACTCATGCTTTAACCGGTGAGTGAATAAAACAACTCAACCGACAGCCATTCAGTGTCATTTATGTGATTTGCAAGCTGGACTTGACTTATTTCTGTATATAGCCTGATGTCTATAGATGTACATATCTTGCTTACGTATACTTGTTCGTTCGTGCAGTCACAGGTAGGCAGACACACAGGCATACTGTGTGTGTGTGTGTGTGTGTGTGTGTGTGTGTGTGTGTGTATATATGTTTATTTTTAGTCCCAGAAAGTGCCACTGTTCTGAATAACTCACATTTGATGAAAAAAGAAGTTTGTTAGTATCAAGCACTTGTTTGCAAAGGAAATCAGAAAATGATCATGTTCTGCTAACATTGACTCTGAAGTCTCGTCTCATTACACAGAAGTAGTTTCAATGCTAAAGTGATAGCTCACCCAAAAAAGAAAGTGTCCTAATATTTATTCACACTCAAGTGATTCTAAACTGAATTTCTTTCTTCTGTTGAATGCAAAAACTAGATATTCTAAAGAATAGTGGTGGGAAAAAAGCATCCATTGACATCTGTTGTAAACCTAGATTCATTGGAAATACATCCCCTGGGCTACGTTTTTTTTTGCAAAAATGGGCTTCGACTAATGTTTGCCTGCAGTTTCTGGGTGAAACAAATGCTACGGGCGCTATGCTGCTAGCAACATTTGTTCATTTTCAGACTACTGACAATTACAGAGGCATACATCTAGGAATAAAGGATTGTTTTTGTGCAATTCATTGCACGTTACTGAATAAATGCTTCAAAAGCAACTTAAATCCATCTATGGATTGTAATCTAATGTGTTTGACTCACCTGCTTATCTCTGTATAGACGACATCTCCAGCGTGGTCAGTTTCTTGAAATCCGATTTTGAGTCCAGTGAAGGACAGTTCTATTAAATGGTTAAAAAGAGGATGTAAAAATCCTGATAAAGCTATGCGGCTAAGTTTTCTCGTCATGCTTGTTTTTGAAAACACCATCAGATGTGTTTAGGGAAGGGGATGGGTCAGTCGATCGCAAAGTGATATGTGCGCAACAAGGCTCGACTTCTCATGGACAGTGGACGGGAAGGACGTGTAAATAGCATTTATAAGATAACTTATCCCAGTATTTGAGATTTGCAAACATGTACACAGCGCCCTTTAGTGGATTTGTCATCACAAGCTGCAGTGAAATGTCAGTTTATGTCATGTTTCACATGATTGTAGACATTGGCAAGTATTTCCAATGAGCCTGGGTCATCCATAGTACACTGTAAAAAGTGAGTCATTTACTTAAATTAACAGTTCCCAATTTTGTTGGGTTTACTCACTTTTTAACAAAAGAAGTGAATCGCTTTTTAAAGTTAGGAACAAAAATACAATGAAGTCAAAGGCTGCTGCTTTCCAACATTCTCCAATATATCTTTCTTTATGTTTAACATCAAACTCCTACACATTTGGGATATTCAGATAATGATGAAATTTTGGGGTGGACTGGTCATTGTTAATGACAGAGAGCAAATGAGGGCATCATAGACATCCTTTCTGCATATTAGAAGCAGCTGGCAATGCCGCCTGATGGGACCAGTTTAAAAAAAAAACAGTCTGGGTCACTCATGAAAGCCACTTGTACAAAGGCCAACTCAGTTACAGCGCATCTGCTCTAATCTGTGTGTTTTTTAGGCAGGAAAGTATGGTGTTGTTGATCATATCTGATTAGATTTGTCTGCACTACAATAATTAACAGTTTCCATTCATGCACACTGAGACTTTAAAGAGATTAGTCACCCCAAAATTAAAATGGTCGTCATTTACTCACCCAAAAGATATTCTGGGGGATAGCCTGTACACGTTCCTCAAGCTAAGTGATCCAGGCTTAATTTTGCTTTACATGTTGTTTTTATATCAGTGCAAGACACCATTTTGATTGTTTTCTATGTGACCTTCACACATACATAGCGTGTGCATAATTAGTACGAGTTAATATTCTGATCACATTTTCCCAAGCACATTTACCACTTACAACCCAGATTAATCTTAATAACTACTATTCATTTCGTATTTAATCATGAATCACATCATGATAAGTGGTGTATAATTGTTTTGACAACAAGAAGCGCTGCCCTATATTCAGATGTGCTATTAATGGGTTTAGATTACCCAAAAAGGATTTTTTTATGTGCATATGACTGTCCTTTTCTGTCAAATCCAGTTGATGTTATTGTGAGTATTCGATTTGGCTTTTTAGGCAATGGCCAGGTAATTTTATTTATTTATTTTTTTAAAAAGCTGTCCAATAAATCCATCCATAATAAATAGTTCCTAACATGGCTTCGGGAGGTTTATAAGAACAATATCCACATTTAAAACTTCATAAACCGTTTTGTCTCTCTTCACTGTGTTTCTTAGTTTGCACTCATGAATCAACATCATTTTAAATTAGGAATAAATGCAGTTTATTGGACTAGTTTTGGTCTTCTGATTTAAATTATATATATATATATATATATATATATATATATATATATATATATATATATATATATATATAATGTATAATATTTATTAAATAACTCAGTTTGGATTTGACTGAAAGAAGAAAGTCAAGTACACCTATGATGCCTTCAGGATGAGTAAATCTTGGCATTACTTTCCTTTTTGTGTGAACTAACTCTTCAAATAGTATCCTTTCGGAGATAGAGATGAAGATATCAATAAAAAGTAAAAAATCATTAAATGCCTACAAGAAAGATGCAGTACTTTAGAAACTGTTACTATTTTTTGAGACCAGCGGTCTATATAGAATGTCAAGAAGTACAGTTATTCTCAGAAACAAAGCTAGTGAATCTTGAAGCATGACCTTTGCTTAATGAGTGATAAGTACCATAAAACGATCATTTAAAAAGGAGCTTTTAATGTTTCAGGGTTAGGAAATAAAGTGACTAGCATCTCCATTTTCTCATGTAACACTGTTTGAAGAATTCATCTTTCAGAATCTGGCTGTAGGTTTTGAGAGTTCATTTTAAGTCCATTGTCAGTCATGAAGGCTCATTTTCCTCAGCACCTTGCTGTTCTTATACTTGAACATTTTAGGAAACTTGGGGTCATGTGTAAGGATTATAGACAACTCGTACTGTTAGACACTGCAGTTTCTGCAAAATAGTGCTAATGAAGTTCATTGGTTAATGGTTTAACCCCTGACTCTTCACTTTAATTCTTGAAATGTTTTCTTCTCAACCTGGACTTTTTGTCTGCTGCCCCAGTGAGAATTGATTATGTCTTAAATGGATCGTTCATCCAAAAATTAAAATTTTCTTACCATTTGCTCACATTCAAAAGGTTCTGGATTTCTTTCTTTTGTTGAACACAAAAAAATATATTGTGAAGAATGCTGGAAAAAAACATCTGTTGCCATCTATAGTGGGAAATATACAAAAACATACTGTGGAAATCAATGGCTGCTTTTTGTTAACATTCTTCATCACATTTTTTCTTTGTGTTCAACAGAAGAATCAAACTCAAGCAGGTTTTTGACAAATGGAGGATGAGTAAATGTTGACAGAATTGTCATTTTAGACCTTTTTAATGTAGCTGTAAAAAGAAAAGGGGAAAAACGAAATTATCTCTAAAAAATTTACATATCTCAGTATAAAGCTTTTTTTTCACTTAAAAATGATCATCACTTAGAAAATGAGTGAATTAGTGCATTTTACAAAATTAATAAAAGCTAATGAGTGATGGGCTAAAAAAAGATCAGAATTAGGACTTGCACAATAATTATGCAGACACTGTAGTCATTAAGCCGCAGTGTATCTTGTGGATGTATCGTGTCGCTCAGTCTGTATTTGGTCAAGCTAAGCAATAAGTGCTCCTTTATTGATTACTGATTATTTTATTATTGAGGCAAAAAGAGCACTGAGAGTAAATGAATGTGTTTTATGTCTCTCATCAAACTCTCATCTCCCAACATTTCTCTCCTTTTTTTTTAGAAAGTCTATAGACACTTTAGAGAAATGTGTCTTTATTCTGTCTGCCATATATAAAGCAGGAAGGATCTTTAGGGGTGTCTTTTATCTTTAACAGTCCAGACAGATGAAATCTTAACACTATTTAAAAATGAGGGCAGGAAAATTGGATAGTTTACCTAAAAGTGAACAATTTCATCATTTGCTCGTACTCATGTCATTCCATTGACTTTTACTCATCTCCAAAATGCAAATGCAGACCTTTTAAATGAGGTCTGAGGTTTTAAATGAATCGTTTCAAAGAATTAGTTCATCCAAAAATGACAACTCTGTAACTGATTACTCAGTCTCATGTCGTTCCAATCCCCTGAGTTTATCTTCAGAAAACAAATTAAGCATTTTTAAATCAAGTCCGAGAGCTCTCATTCTCTATAGACCACAAGAGTCCCGACCCAAAAAAGGAACCAAAAGCTTTGTCAAAGTATTCCATGTGGCTTTAATTGTTCAACTGTAATCACACGAAGCTTCGAGAAGACAAGCACTGTATGGCCCAGAGTAATCGCGCACCCTGATATGAGCCATTAAACAGAAAAACAAAGTCATTTTACAGTTTTTGGTTACTTTACTGGATTTTGATTGTCTATGAAGGATGAGGGAGCTCTCAGATTTCATTTAAAATACCGTCATCTGGTATTGGAATGACAGGAAGGTGAGTAATTCAATATTTTCAGGTTGAACTAACCCTTTAAAGTAGTGTTTCTGAACCACGTTCCTGGAAAACCACCAGCTCTGCACATTTTCCATGTCTCCTTAACCAAACACACCTGATTCAGATCATCAGCTCTTTAGCAGAGACTAAAAGGCCTGTTATGGGTGTGACAGACAAAGGCGACATACAAAACATGCAGTGTTGGTGGTCCTCCAAGATTGTGGTTGAGAAACACTGCTTAGAAGTACTTGTAGCCAATGTTTTGACACTTCAAAACCTGTGCTCATCTTTGAGAAACCAGAGCAACATCTGTCCATCTTTTGAAAAACATCCACTCGTCTTCGAAACACAGATATTTTTCATAAAGCCTGAGAGATTTTAAAAGTCTGTGATCAAAACGTTGACACTTATTTTCAAAACACACTTCAAACTGTTTTTTAAAGCCAGTGTAGCCAAATGTTTGACATTCTAGAGATTTGCTCATATTCAAAAGACAAATTAAAAAATTTTAATTAAATAAAAGCAATTTCTCCAAACCTGTTGGGAGTTAAATCTAAAAGCATGTAACTAAAACTGATGCTTCAAAAACCTATGAGATCTTTTGAATGAAATCTTATTGGTTTTTGTCTATTCAACCAAAACCTTGCACCCACTTTAAATGCTATCACTTGATTGAATGAGCGTTATCAGTGGTTATCAGCTGATAGATATGGGCCAGTAGGGGCCTTCTGCGTCTACTAGTAGGCTCAG